GGAGCCCGATGCGGGACTCGATCCCGGGACTCCAGGATCATGACCTGAGCCGAAGGCAGTCGCTTAACCAACTGAGCCACCCAGGCGCCCCTATGAATAAACATATTTACAAAACTAGGATCATACTATAACTTGTTTGGAATCCTATTTTTGTCACTTCATATGTTCTATACATCTTTCTATAATACACGTGTATATTATAATTTTTTAACACATGTTCATTTTTATGAGAATGCCGTTTAACAATTTGATGAGTGCTTTTTCTTAAAGTTTTATTTTAATTCCAGTTAACATAGTTATATTAGTTTCAGGTGTACAGTATGATTCAACAATTCTATACATCGCCTGGAGTGCAACACACATGCACTCCTTAACCCCCATCACTTATTTAGTCCTCCCCCGCTCCCCTAGCTCTGATAACCATCAGTTTGTTCTCTCTAATTAAGAGCCTGTCTCTTGGCTTAGTCTCTTTTTTCCCCCTTTGCTTGTTTTGTTTCTTAAATTCCATGAGTGAAATCACGTGGTATTTGTCCTTCTCTGATTGACTTATTTCCCTTAGCATTATACTCTAGCTCCATCCATGTGGTTGCAAAGGGCAAGATTTCTTTTTTTTATAGCTGAATAATAATATTCCATTGTATATACATACCACATTTTCTTTATCCATTCATTTATCAATGGACACTTGGGTTGCTTCCATAATTTAGCTATTGTAGATTATGCTGCTATGAACATCGGGGTGCATGTATCCCTTTGAACTAATGTTTTTGTATTCTTTGGGTAAATACCCAGTAGTGCAATTGCTGGATTATAGGGTAGTTCTATTTTTAACCTTTGAGGAAACTCCATACTGTTTTCCAGAGTGGCTGCACCAATTTGCATTCCCACCAACAGTGCACAAGGATTCCCTCTTCTCTATATCCTTGTCAACACCTGTTGCTTGTATAGTTGATTTTAGCCATTCTGACAGGTGTGAGGTGAAATCTCATTGTAGTTTTGATTTGCATTTCCCTGATGATCAGTGATTTGAGCATCTTTACATGTATCTGTTGGCCATCTGTATTATCATTGTTATAGATGCTTAGGACTTAGATTGATTCCCATTTTTCTCAGCGATAAACAGTGCTGAGCTGGGATGGACATGTTTGTGGTGCCATCATCGTGTACTTGTCCAGCCATTTCCTTAGGCCTTTCTATAAGGGGAATTCCTGAGTCAAAGGAAGTCACATATTTAAGGCATTTGTGCATATTAACAAATTGCCCTACAGAAAAGTCTCTTGGCTTGTAGAGATGACATGAATTATTAGTGACACAATATTCTATTTACCTGCTTATTACTCCAACAAATTATGTCCAGTCATTCATGCGATAAGGTTTGGGGCCTGTTCAGAGAAAGGAAGATCCTACCTTGAGATTCCTATGGGGCAGTTTATAGTAGATAGCTGTTTTCCCGTTTAATCATCTGGTTTAGTTCTTTTTCATCTTGCCATCAAACCTGCATAGCTACCTATGGCCCCACCAGGCATCCCTGGAGGGGCTTCTTTATCTTTAGACCCAAATTCAGACTCAGACCTAGTGACTCCAGGCTTTCTCTTCCCAAAGTTAAAGGTAGCTCTGTGAGTGAGTATGGCGTGAGGGCTGGCCACCTTTCAGGGGAAGATTCCTCCAAGAGGGGCTACCTCTTTGCCATTTGGTACCCTCTTACCTCTGTTTTCCAGCACAAGTGCCTGGCACATGGTGGGCCCCCAGGAAACGAATAAACGTACCATTCTATCTTCAGCTTCCACTGCTTTCCTATTATGTGAACTCATGACACATTAAAACACAACTATTCTGTTTTCCTCTCGGAGGATAGGTCTTAACCATCTTTGGATCTCAAACTTCTAGCACATAGTAGGTTTTCAGTTAGTGTGTGGACAGCTGTTCATTTCATTCCCTCTGCCTGGAGTTCTTCATTCAGCCCCCACTTTCAGCCCTCTCTGGACTTTGCAGAAATCTTAGCTGTTCTGAAAGGATTAGCTCAAAAAAGCCACTTTCTTTCTTGGTTGCTCCAGCCAGAAGAGTAAAAGCTGATATTTTGGGCTAAGCACTTTACACATATAACACATGAATTCTCAACCATTCAAATTAGCTATTATCATCCCCATTACAGTTTAGGAAACAGAAGTAATTTCCCCAGGGTCAAATAATAGTGAATGACAAGGCCAGGAATCAGACTGCAGGAATGGCCTTAAAGACAGAGTCCACAGCCACTAAACTGGACAGGTCTCTCTCTCTGCACTACACTCCTATCATATTTTGTTCATCAGGTTGGTAGGGAATCTGTCTCATCACCTGCACATCTCCATATTCTACTGGACCAAGAGCTCCCTGAGTTCCTTTGTTATTTTCAGGGCCTAGACAGTGTCTAGATATTGGTTGGTGATCCCTCAGTATGTGCTGATTGATTTGTGGCCCTGGTTTCGGTCAGTGTCTAACATCCATGCACACCAGGCGCCCAGAACCGTGCAGACTCATTCCCACAGCTTGGAATTCTTCCTGCTCTCCCACACTATCTTGTACTGGTACATGGAACTCTCCCACGTCTTCACAGTTTTTTCATGTTTGTGCGCTTGCCCCTGTAAACTGGTAGCATCCAAGGACAAATCTTACATGTGTTTCATCTCTTTATCTCAAACTCTTGGCTTAGCATTAAGGTGCTAATTAAATGTGAATTAATATACAAACCTCAGTCACCCCTCCCTACCATCAGATCATCAAGGGACACTTCCAGGCACTCCCCTCTTCCCCAAAGGCAAGCTTGCTCGGAGTACAGATACCTGGGAACACAGACCCAGGTTCCCCCTGGGTTTGGCCTTTGTAGGTCTGTCGACCTGTCCCCTAGTCTCCCCATGGGCTCTTTCTTTGTGTCTCTCTTTGTCTCTGCCTGTTTCACTGTCTTTTGTTCCTCTGCCTCTGGGCCTTCTTCTCTCCAGATTCCCTTCCTTTTCTTACAGCTCCTCCGACTGTGCTTCAGTGACTTCGTATCTCTATGTTTCTACATCTCTTTGTCTCTGGTGGCCAATCTCCTGCTCCTGTATTTTCGGGCCGCCGCAGTCTGTCGGTCTCTTTCTCTGTCTCTGTGTCCTCTCTGACTCGGGGCTCTTAGGTTATGACTTTGTGAGTCTCTGGCTCCGGGTCTCCGCTCCGCGCCCCGGGCCTGATTTCAACTGGCCACCTCTCCCCATCATTTCTCTGGAGTCGGCCTCTATCCTCTAGCTGCAGCTCGGGCCTCGGTCTCCCCCAGCCCAGCCCCCCTCCCCACCCCAACCCACCCCACCCCCGGCCCTAGGCCTCTCGGACCGGCCCCGCTTTGTTTCCTGTGTCTCGGCGCCCCGCCCCCGCCCCGTCTGGGGTCTCCGCCGCCCTCCGCCGCCCTTTGTTTGCCTTGGTCTCTCCCCCACCCTTTTCCCTGGGTCAGTCTTCGGATCTCTCTTTGTCTCTCCGGGCCGGGGAGGCTGGCGCAGTCGGTCAGCCCCGGAGGTCGGCGCGGGCGGCCCGACACAGCGATAATTAGGAAGAGTCTTCGGCCCTCATCACCCGGCTCCAGCCCAGGAGGTACACGGTTAATACCACCGAGTTCAGGCAACTGTCCTCGGCTTAGAGTAGCCCTGTCCGCGGCACGCGGCCTCCCGCCGGCCACCGAGCTCCGGAGGACGCGGGCGGCCCCCACAGGCGTGCAGCTCCTCCCGGGTCCTAGAGCGGCTCGGTGAGGCCCAGCGCTTCCGCTTCCCGTCCCCGCCCCCCGGCGGCCGCCCCCGGGACGCCTGGGTCCGAGCCCCCTCCCCATTTGGCGCGGAGCCCGCATCCCGGGGCCGCCGGCGGCTCGGGCAGCGGAGCCCCGCCGAGGAGCTCGCGAGGACGCCGGGGTGACATAGCCGGAGGCGGCCAGGAGGAGAAGGGGGCGCTGCGGGCCGGAAGGAGCAGCAGGTGCAGGGGCGGCCGGTTGCGCGGGCGGGG